ATTGTAAGTTGCAATCTGAAAATTCACCAAATCACCTTTTTCTTTTGTAAAAAATCTCCAGACTTCTCCAAAGTGGTTGCACTAATGTAATTACTCCTTTTTCAAGTGTTTGTAGGGAGTCATTGTCCTGTGTAGAAGTAATGAATGATGGTTTTTCCGATTAATAATGTTGTTTATTTTGCCATAGAAATTTTAATATTGTGCATTTCACAACATTTTAGAATTATGAAATAGGTTTTTTTTCTGTCCAGAAAACACAAAAGCATATCTTTCTGTCTGCAGCTTGTTTACATATGACAGTTTTGAACAAGAATAAATGCAAAAATAGCAGATGATGTTTATCCAGTTTGATACTTACGTATTAACGCCACCACAGCAGAAGTTGTGCTGATACGCCAATAAAGAGCAATCTTGTTGTTCGTACGTAGTTATCTTTTGAATTCCCTTTTGCCTTGTTTGCTGAATTTTGACGCCATTTTTTAGTGCTACGAAAATGCGTCTTTGGGATTTACCAAACACAGAAGAAGATGCAATTTTATTTTTTCAGGAGCGAAATATGTTACCAAAAAATGAAAATGTACCAATTCACATGATATGAAACTTTATTTTGGTAAACATACATTTTGGAAATGTAATTTAAGACTGTGATCAACAAGTGGGACTTAGAAAAGACGACTGGTTTGAAGGAAGCAGAATTCCATTTTGTTCAGCTTTGAGATTCATATACTGCTGGTGCGAGGAGTTGACATTGATTAAATTTTGCGAAAAGCAACTTGATTTATCGGATAAAACTGTTATAGATTGGAACAATTACATGCGTGAATTATGTGTCTTGGATATGGCGAATAAACGTAAAACAAGTTATGGTAGGTGGACCAGATTGCATTGTGGAAATTGATGAAAAAAGTTTGCGTTACGATAAGCGTAAAAAAGTACATTGTTGGTCGAGTATTACCCAAACAATGGGTGTTTGGTTATATATGTAGAGAGACAAAAGATTCGTTTGTTGTCACTGTTCCTTATAGAACTGGCTCTACCCTTCTTAATAAAATTATTGAAAACATTGCAGGCGGTACCACAATTTATTCTGACAGTTGAAAAGGTTACCAAACAAATAGAATAGAAAAAGAAGAATTCCTGTATGCTAAAGTTATCAGGGTCAATGTTCCTTCTTACCTTCTTCGGGAACATACAAGGACCTGACTCGGAACAGAGAGCTTACTAAAGCTATGTTCACTAATTGTGGTAAATAGACAGGATACACACAAAGGGTATACAAAACCCTTTATTTTTCTCTATATACAATAACTTCCGTACTTCGGAATACACTGACCCGCTACTTGGGGTCTAACGTAAAAGTATAAAAATAAAACTAAACTCTAATTTAACTTTAGAATAATAAACGTGGAAGATTGGCCTTATAATAACAGGAAGCGTATGTAGTACAGAGACTGTGAACTCTACAATACATTTTAAATTTATCAAGAGGATTAAAACCTCTGGCCTGGAAGGCAAACAGCAACTGCGTAACTTCTAAGGTAAGCGGCCTGCTTTGACTCACTGCTTCCTCTCTCTCTCTCGCTTGGCAAAAAGGCCACAACTTAAATACTTGGCGTTCGCCAGACAAACTTTGCATAAAAACCTTAACGCTTATAATTCTGGCCGGAAGTAGAAAATAAGAAGTGATAGTAAAGATTTAAAATAAAATAAACGTTAGTAAAACTTAAGATCCTTACAAAGTTAATCATAAATACAGTTTTATTGATCCTGATGCAGGATTTCATACACAAACAGTTGAGAGAATGTGGGGTAGTGCTAAATGGAGGAACAAGAGATGGGGGAGACAGTAGGACTTCATTTAGAATCATATTTAGCAGAGTTCATATGGCGACAGCATCAGGTCAAAGAAAATGGAGACTGTTTTGAATCTATGTTAAACTCTATATCGGCCCATTTTCCACCAAAATCCGATTGACTACTTAAAGTTTAAATAAGATTTTAAATAAAGTGTTCTGATTTTTGAAAGTGTTTTTGTTTTAAATACAGTGTTTTAACTTATGATTTGTCGCAAAAATTTTAAGTGTAGATTGGCAGCACTTAAAAACCGCCAAATCTGCAGCTGCAGTGGCATTAATAACGTAAATACCCTCATAATAATACCTCATATCCAGTAAATAATAAGCTGTTGCCAGAAATTTTAATTCCAAAATCATTTGCTTTTTTTTAAAGTTCTTTATAAAAATAGTTCTCAAAATGTGTAAACACCTTCTGAATAAGTGCGCATATTTACATATTTGCTTCAGGTAAAAATATACCTAGGCGTGGCTCTGATATAAGTATAATATTACAATTTATTATTGCAGTTTGAAAAATGTATTAAAAATACCACATTATGGTACTGTATTACTACTGTTTAAAAGCTACTTTAAACGTTTCTTCTAATAATTATTTATTGATTTCTGGACCACTATTTTATTGAATCTTTTTTCAGTTTCAGCAAAATATGTTATGACAATTTCAAGAGAATGATTTTGTACAGAGTAGGTATAGTTGAAATTTTGATATGTAATAAAATATGAACAATAATTAATTGTTGTTCATGGTTTGTTACAAATTGTATTGAAACTTTTAGTGTAATATAGTGTGTAGTAAAATGTGTTTTGAAGCTTTAGAATAGGAACTGAACTTTAAAATATGATGTTAAGAATTGAAATTTTATGTAGAGAACTGAATCTGTTTGTGAAATTTAAATAGTAAAGTGTTTAAAGTTTTTGTAATATTAAAGAGTGATGTTCTTGATTACAAATTTCTAAAAAATTATTAATAATATTTTACAAAAGTAAAATACAGAAACCATATCAATGTAAATAGCTATTAGTTAAAATATTCAAACTACTCTTACATACGCCCTCGGTTGGTGAAGCCAATGATTTTTGGCGAGAAACTCAACAGCACCATATTACTATCTAAATTTTTTGTTTACATTTCAAACTTTAAGCTTAAAATGTCTGCAAAATCACGATGCGAAAACTATGTTTTTAACATACAATTGACGCAAAAAATTCAAAAAAAAAAAAAAAAACTTTGATAGCAAAAGCATAAAGTTTCTAACCAAAAATATTTGACAAGAAACCATGCACACAGTCTTCTGTTTTAACTTGAAAAAAATCATCGAATTGCACAATCTAGGCATCGTGCACAGCCTCTGCATTGCGCACAAATCAACAAAATAAAATAAATTACAAACAATTAAAAAAAAAAAAAAAAAAAAAGATGATGACAGAAATTCATAGCAGAGAAATAATGAGCATAACATTGTATAAAATAAGAACAGTAATAAAATAAAATGCACTTACCATTGTGAATGCTTCTTTAAACAGCAGAAATATCAATTTCAAACATCAGCCAAACTCATCAATTTCCACCACTTTATCCTCCCTCCCCCATCTTCTGAGAGACAGAGCATACAAAGTCCAGCATACATTCATGAATAAAATTTTGCCAGTCATACAACGTCTGTGAACAAAAATGCCACCATTTTTCTGTGTCACGGGCCTTTCTGCAATTAAAAATTTTGAAAGTAACGATAAAAACTTTCTCCAAAGTTAACTTACTACACGAAAACCGTGGTCCAAATCTTAAACTTTGCTGACAGTCATAAGCTATTTCAAAACGCCTACCAAACCAATCAACAAATAAAACCACTACAGCAAAATTAAGTTGTAATCTCAAAAAAGGTTGCCATACAAACAACATTGCGCTAAAAACCATCGCAGAACAAACAATTGTACCAAAAACCAGTGCAAAACACATATCGCCACATTTGCCGACCTGAGGGTGTATATAAGAGTAGTACCAAAATATTGAATACTGAAATATTTGCAGACAACTAGTTTTATTGTATAAAATATTTCTAGCATAAGCCTTCACTTTTAAATTATTGAAGTCATAAGATTGTATCAGAGTGGAAAAATATATATAAAATTGATTATGCACAATATTATGAGCCACCAGAATACTTATTAGCATAAGAAAGTAAAATGTCTTCTAGTTAAAAAAAGCTTTAAAAAAAAAGGTCTGCATGCAGGACATTTTAGAATTAATCAGGAACACTTCTCAAATCTAATATTCTAGCAGAAACAAAATCAAATTGATACATTTAAAGAGCAGAACATTCATAGTAAACTAGCCTAGAAAACTAAGATTGAAATTTTTCTTTTAATAAATGCAAAAATAGAAGTATTGAAAATAGGAATTGAAGCGCAAAAATGTTATAATCAAAATAATATTGTTAACTTGTGATAGGTGTTTATATTTTGGAATGGAGACAGAGAAGCATAATAAGCATTATTCATTGATAGTTAGTGAACAGTTTTTCAAATAGTGAACTATTATATATATGCTATGTTATCTTTTCTCTTTCTTTCTTTTCTTTTCTTTTTTCTTTTTCTTTTTCTTTTTTTTAAATCAAGGGACTGTTTTGACCTTATTTTGTAGTTGTGTGTTGTGAAAGAAAGAAATATTTGTTCTTTAATTATATTTAAGTTTTCTAGATTAAGTACTGTGTAAATACTTATGACATTTTTAATGTCTGAATTAGATGAATGATTTAATAAAAATGATTTCCATGCAAGGTTAACCCTCTGACTGGCCAGTCCCTTCCCGTGTGTGTATATAATGTACATTCTAGAATATTTTGATGTTTTAAAGAAAATAAATATACTTACATCTGAAAATAAATCCAAGAAATTAAGCCAATATTTTAAAAGTACACAAATCTAGGTATAAATTAATGGGGATATTTTTTTTATTGAAATCAAGAAGCTACCCCTTTATTGGGGCAATTTTAAGAAATTTAGGGTTTAAGATTGAAACCCTTGGCCAGTTTGAAGGTTAAATAAGAAAATTTTCAAACCATTAAGTATTACATTTTCTAAAAGTTTTATTTTCTTATGTATTTTCTATTATTGCGATCTAATATGCCTTGTTGAATTTTGCAGTCTCTTAAGCAAAACATTAATGATTCAAATCATGGTGACACAAAAACAGAGTCTACAGCTACTCAGACAACTACTAAAATAAGTGTAAGTAACCAATTTAACATTCATTATATTTTTTCAATAAAATGCTTGTAGTGTTTTCAAAAACACAGGTATTCCTTTTTTGGTTTTTGATACATAAAATCCTCCATCCTTTTAAATATTATTATTTATGAAGTGCATAACCTGTATTTGGTATATTTTGTGTCTAAAATAAACATGTAATTCCAAATAATATAAATCTAAAATATTTTGTCATGTTTAACTTTTATTTGTAGCTGTTAAAACTGAAAACTAATTTTGATTATTACATATTGTCTATTTTGGCAAGTTTTTTCATATCTCAAGTTTCTTGTTTTGAAAGTTATTAATGTTTTCTTCAAACTGTTATATTGTGTTTGTAATACTGTAACAACTACAGCTATTTGTATTTTTACATTATTTTATTTTATAGCTTTAAAATAGTTAAGATATTGTTGCATTAGAATTATGAAGTTTTCTAATAGACTTATGACAGTAGGAGGATTACAAATATTGATTAAGTAAATCTGTACCTTTTTATTATGCTTATTATTGATTCTGCAAAAAAATTTATATATTTTTTATATATTTATAATAAAAGAAGGTAAACAGCAAGCAAATATTTAAACACATCTTTCATAAAATGAAATAATCTTGTATCATTAATGCTTGTATCATAGTGCATAAATAAAACATTGGAAATCCCATGAAATTATCTCATCTAATGAAAACTGAATCAAGATGATTCAACTATATTTGATTATCTTTACCACCTGTAAATTGTAATAAGATTGAAAAATTTTAAGAAACAGTTCACTGCCTAAATACATATGCAATTTGATATTGAATAGGAATAATTTGCTGAATAAATATTGAAATTTAGCTTTTAACAAATGATTCATCTAACTAAAAATTATTTAAAGTGTTCTAGAGGCATTAGGTTATTTCGAAGCAGGAGACATGAAAAATGAGCAATGCCTTCGCCAGGACTGCATGCTAAGAAGGCAGGAAAATCACCCTATAGTATCTCATTTTCTTCTGCCACAACTATACTTCGTACAGTGTTGCTGCTTGCATTGAAGGGTGGGTAGAGTTTTGGGAACACAGCGAAATCAGCACCAGTTGGCTCTGAGCTCCAGGTGCATCAAAGTGCCTGTTTCAGTGAACCCTTGTGTGAGTGCTTGGTCGAAATCAAGATGGAAAAAAACTCTTGAGCAGCAATATGCAAAGTTTTGTTTCAAACTTGAGAAAACGTCAGAGACTTTTGCATTGCTTCAGTCCTGATTTGTCCCCACCCAAATTCTTTTTTAAAGATTAAAAAGACCGAAGATTAAAAAATTCCCTCAAAGGACAGCATTTGGGGATCTTGGAGAACATCAAGGCAGCTACAATGAGGTTATTAAGGGACATCCTTGTGATGGACTTCCAGGACACATATAAAGCATGGAAATTGCATTTAAACAAGTGTATTAAAGCAGGAGGGATGTATTTCAATGAATATTGAGTAATTGTAGGAATCAGCTCAATAAAATTCTTTATAAAAAATGGCCACATTACTTTCAGGACAGACCTCGTATGTATTAACACTATCATTTCGGCCTAATTTGGCCATTTTTTTCACAAATGAAAATGCAAAAGGTCATTTATCACATACTATCTGTAGATTTTCACGACTTTTAAGATTTCCAAACTATAGATATTTATCGTAAACTGTAGCAGACATCATGAGCATGTCAAAACAGAACAAGCTTTAACAATATAAAATAGAAATTTCAGTTATTAAATAAGGATTACATGGTACATTAAAAAGTAAAACACTTAAAATTTTTCATGAAATTCTCAATTGTTCATCTCCCCATGTATACAGCAATTTGGTTTTGTCTAAAATAAACATCCACAAATTGCATAAATTCCCCATTGTGCACCAGCCGTCTACTAAACGATTTGGTCAGTGTTTTCTTTACCATTGATTATGTGGAAATAATTATTTATATTGTATTCCTCCAGAAATGTTGCTGCAGTTTCTTCCATTGCACTGTATATTCCATAAATGCATATTTTAAAATAGAGTTTCAGACAAAAAATATTATTATATGTCTATAAAAATTGTTGGAATGAGGGATACTGTAAAAAAGAATGAATACAAAAATGGCGATGTTGTTAGCCTGAAGAACTGATATGATCATGTTGGTCATGTACATCAGCAGGTTCCTTTAAAATGTATAAAACTTTGCAAATGCTTAAAAAATTACATCAACTAGTGTGGTGATTAGAAAATAAGATAAGGATTAAAGCTGTTTTAAAATATGCTTAATGCTTTTAAACAGCTTTCCATTTAGGCATTAAATCGAATTAAGAATTTCCAATCGAATTAAGATGTTTTGCAACCTTTTTTAACTATGAAAAAAAAAAGTGTAAAGATGATTGTACAGAACGATGTTACAAAATGCATTTACAAATAAAAAAAAAAAAAAGAAAAACTTACATTACTGGCAGTAGATGGTAGTCACTTTAGTTTTAATGTGAAATTTGGCATTGTTTTTGCTTGATTAAACCTTCAATATCCGATTTAATGTGTGTTGTTCAATTTGTAAAGTTTCCTCCAAATGTCTAGCAGTCAGTCATGTTCTTGTTTTTGATTTTAGGATTTTCATTTTGCTAAAAAGCTGTTCACATATGTAGGTACTGCCAAAGATAGAAGACATGAAGAGTGCATGTTTACAAATTCCTGGATCATGTACTTCGAATAAAAATCAATTAATGTAGGATTTTCAAGAAACTTGCATTTTACTGCAAAGTCACACTGTAAATCTATAAATTCTAATTGAAGTTCAGGTGAAACACTTCCAGTGTCTACTGAAAATGGCGAGGAGAACATTCTCATAAAAATTTCACTTTCACGGAAATTGGAAAATCAGCTTTTGAATTCCTTTTTCAAATTTGAAATGTATAGTACATAATTATCTGAATTCCATGTTGTAGAGTTCTTCACATACCCCCATCAGTTTTGGAAAGTAAATGGAATTCTTATTTAGCAACTGACTTTCCCACAGGATTGATTTTGTTTCAAAAGCTTTCACAAAGTAATAAAGATTATGAACAAGTAGATCTTTTCCCAGTAAGCGGTAGTTCAAATCATTGAGATGACCTGCAATGTTGACAAGAAATACAGTCTGTCAACCATTTCACATCACTGAACTTGTGAATAGATTTCCCTTGAGATTCCATGAATTGTTGAACTTTGCTCTTCAAAGATTTAAATATATCCTATGTTGAACTTTCCTCTTCAAAGAAAAAAGCTGCTGAAGCATCTTTCCTTGGCTCAACCAAAGTACTTCTGCCTAATACACAACGTCACCATATTCAGCTTCCAAATCACTCAAGAACTGTTGAAATTGCCTGTGATTAAGTCCTTTACACCGAATGAAGGTAACCAATTTTACAACAGCATTCATTACATGTTCAAAATTTGAGGACTTCACAAATTTTCTTGGTGGATGATGGAGTGGAAAGTCATCATAGTATTATTTCCACTTGCCTTCACATCAGATTTGAGTAATGTTGTTACTCCTATTTTTTCTGTCCAGTCATAGATTCAGTACCATCTGTGGTTATAGCAGATATGTTACTGAGTCTAACTCGCATTTATCTAAAGCTTGTGTCAAAATTGAATGCATATCTGTTCCTCATGTTGTACCTTTAAGTGCAATGACACTGGCTAAGTCCCTATCTATGCCATGAATAAACTTGTGCAGTTTCTGTTGCTTGTTTTTTATTCATTCATCGCTACAGAATAAAACTCTAATTTTTGTATTTGGGATTTTAATTTACTGAATATATCTGTTGTGAGATTCTCTATGCATCTCGCTACTGTCACACTAGACAATCTAATTTTCAATATGACTTGAGCCTGTGATGGACAAAGCACATCACCTGCAATCTGAAGACATTCTTTTACAAATTTTCCTTCAGCAAAGGGCTTTCCACACTTAGCAATTTTTTCTGCTATCATGTAATTAACACGAACACTATTTTCAGATTCTTTATTCGCTGTGGTGAAGAAAGACGGCTAAAAATTTAGTTTTAATTTTAATTCACTCACCTTATTGCTTCAAAAATGACCTTCCAATGCAGAATATTTCTCACTGTGCTTAGTATCATAATGTCTCTTAATGTTGTATTCCTTCATCACAGCTACACTGTCATTGCAAATAAAGCAAACTATCTTACCCTTATGTACAACAAAAAAATAAAGATCTAGTCACTTTTCTTGAAAAAAATTGCACTTTTACTTCAATTTTTCTTTTTTTGTTATCACGACTTACCGTTGTGAACTCATTCAAAAACCATAAACTCTTCTGACTTTAGAAAATCTGCTTGTGAACAAATCAAACAGGATATTAATTTATTCCCCCCTCTCCTCTACAGTAGCCAAAGGCACGCCCAGGGTCACCTTTGGCAAAGTATTGATGAAGGATTGACATCTGTTGCAAACCTGTTAGAGATAATCTACCCTTTTTATGGAATTGAGACGTTATACATACTCAATATTTTTATTTTTTTAATTAACATAAAATAAAGTGAAATTTTTGAAAAATTCGTCATTTTTAGAAAATTTTATCTCAAGTAATATCAGGCATGTCAATAAGATGTTTTAAATATCAAGGTTAAGAGAAAAAAAAAAAAAGTTTTTTTTTTTTTTTTTTTTTTTTTTTTTGTGGGCAAAAGCTGACAAGGTAATTTTTCTTGAAATCAAAATTTCTTAAAATTCTTCAATTTTTCTTCAAATGCAAATGTGAGGCCATGGGTTGAAGACTCTAACTTAGATCATGCACTATGTGTTTTGAATTAGTGGACTCATCATCAGAATGATGTGTAAGACTAGACAAACACAGGGCATGGAAATGGCATATTTTCTTGCATTGTACTAACATGGCTTGTTTAAAATATTTTTAATAATTTGACTTCTTTAAACAGCTTCCATTTTTTATATTCAGTGATTAAAATCTCTTTAAAAGCATTACAAATTATCTTAAGCTTTGATTTTAACTTATTCCCCATCATTTGAAAAAATGGGAGAATATATAATAATCAAAGATTTTTCTAAAAAAAAATCTTCTGATTAAAGGTGTGGACACTTTGTTAAGTGCTTTAGTTCTGAAAACTAATAACACCAAAATTAAAAAGACTGCATCATAAAAAACCAACATATTCTAAGTTTGAATTTTTCCTAGTTTTTAAAGTTTTAAAATTATTTAGGCATGCTGTAAAAATATATAGATTTTTTTCCTGTTATAGGACAACTTGCTGTTAAAAGTATTTTACATATAGGCAATATGTTTCTTAACCTTGATATTTCAATAAATAGTAAATCAGAATAGAATGGCTCAATTAAAAAAAAATTGGGATAATGCTTACTTTGAAAACAAGAATAAGAAATGAGAATTATATGTTTATTGAAAAGATGGATATTACAGGGATAATTGTAAAAGATGGATCTTAACCAACATATGTAATGTAAATAAATATGTTGTTTAAGATCTGTTTTAATTTATTTTTGTCTTTATTCCACCATTTCTTAATGAATTCATATAAGGAAGAAACAAAAACAGCAACTAGTACCAAAGTGTACTTTGTTTAGTCAGGCACCACATACTTTCAATACCTTGCAATACGTTTCCTATAAATTGTTTCACATATACACAATACATTTCCTGTAGCAGAAAAAAATTCAAATTTTCATTATTAAATGCTATATGTGAAGGAAATGACTTTTAAAGATTAAAAATATTATATTTTACGATAATAACTCTTAAGAATGAAAACTGATGGACAGAGCAATAGCTAAGGTTTTCATCACCTGGGGATATCTGGAGATGCATGTTCCCTCTTGTTTGCCTAAACTGGAAAGCATTTCATTGTAAAATTTAGTAACATTGATTTAGCACCTCCTGGATGGTGCACCTGAGTACATATATTCTCTCTTGTTCCACCCCTATTTATGTCACTGATGATGCATAAATAGCTTCTTAATTCATCAAAATACTTGAGCTTTTCATTTAATACATTAATATTTTTAAAAAGAGATGGATGCTTTTACTTTTTTAAAAGAATTAATCGTTTGTCTTTTCTAGGCAAGAAATATACAGAAGAATCCTTTATTTAGAAGGTGTGTTTCTACACAAACAACTCCATCTGGATCTAGTCCTAGAGATGAAAAAATTAGGGTAATTTATTTTGATAGTTGTTAATTAGCTGTGACAAAGTGTGTAAGAAGTACAGTACAAAGACCGAGATCCGGACCTTGGCGATTCTGGATTGGTAATTTTTTCGGATATTAGATCTTCAGTTTCAGTCTAGTAAGATGGCATGCAGAAATTATATAATTAAAAATATGAAATCGGGATTTATGAAATAATGATGGGTTATGATTTATGAGCATTTATGATCTAAAGGGTATCAAAATTTACAAAAAAGGATCTTTAAGTTGACTCAATTTTTGTGCTAATACTTTCTCTTTAATTCTATATACAGACATATTTCTTGTGTAGTTACATTTTTCAAGTCCTGTAATTGCTATGTTAAGAATTCCAATTAACTTTTCAATCGAAATTTTTTCATTTTCAATAGCCTCTCTGTCAGTTACTTCATGATCAATAGCAGTATTTTCTGTGTCCAGAACCATACTACAGATTTCACCATCCGTTTATTGATTGATGATTGGGGCGATTTCCTTGCAATGAAAAACTTCTGTTATATCCTTTTATTACTATCTATTATTATTCATTTATTACTGCTTCTCCACATTTCTTTACAAAATCCGTTAACTGGAAAATTTCATCTTTGGATCTCGAACTTTGTTTGCAATATCCAAAAACCTTCAAATTCGCGGCTATCATCTTCATCATCCTCACCATGAAATTTGGGAGCTGGCCCTAAATTATGCCAAATATTTTTTAAAGTATCTGGAGACACATCTTCCCACGATCTTGCAATGCTGCTCCCAGCAGATTTTATGCTAAAATATTTTTTAACTTCCTGAATAGTCGTGCTATTATTCAAGAAATGTAACATAAATTTTAAAAACGCTACTTTATATTTGCATTTCAGCATGTGCACTATTCCGATGTCCATAGGCTGAATGGTAGACATTCAATTTGGAAAGAATAATATGGATACATTATTCTTTCACTAAAACTTTAAGTAAGTATGAGCCGAACAGTTGTCTACAATCAGGATTATTTTTGAGTCATCAGGTAAACCAATCGAATTCAAATGTTGCCAAGCCTCGAGTATAAAATAATTCTCCAACCAATCATTTATTAATGCTTGTGTTATCCATGCTCTTTTATTTGCACGATATATAACAGAAAAAAATTATTCCTCCTTTAAATGCTTGAGGTGGTGTATTTTTTCCGATTACGAAAAGTTTACACTTGTTCGTTCCTGCAGCATTTGCGCATGATATATTGTTATTCTTATTTTGGAATCTTTGACACCAGCTGAAGACTTTTCTGTAGAGGTTACCAGGGTATTTCGTGGTACATATTGCCATAAAAGACCAGTTTCATTAGTGTTGCAAATTTATTCTGGAGATAACTTTTCACTATTAATGATTTCAATGAATTCATCTACAAGTACTAGCTCAGCAGCTTCAGTATCAGTTGAAACCTTTGAAATTTTTAGTTGCTTTATGCCATGGCAATTTTTAAATTTGGTTAACCAACCTGTCAAATAAGTGCATTCAATTTTTAAGTTCATATCCTCATAAAATGTTTTTGTTTGAGCCATTAGCATTGGACACATCAATGGCACGCCCTCGCTGCGACACTGTCTAACCCATTCATTCATTACTTTGTCATGATCGTCACTTTTAGCATAATGAATAATTTTTCTGTTACTCATTGTAAGTAAGGGTGTCGGAATCCACAAAAAACTCAAAAAGTTCCTTTTTCTGTCTTCTTATGTCATATACAGGTGACTTTCCAATGCCAGATTCCTTGCATAATTTTGAGACCGCTATGCTTTATAAATTTTTTGCAGCACTTCCACTTTCTGCTTAACGGACAGTGAAACAAGCTTTTGCTTTGTAGATACTGTTGCAGCTCCAGAATTAGAAACTCTTTTCCACATAATCGAAAGTTCAAGCTTAAATTTTCATAAAATTGCTGTAATAATAACAGTTTGCAAAAAATAATAAGCTTTATCAAATCAGAAGATTTAGGAACAGAGCAATTTGCTTTATTAATTGAAATTTCTTGGAATCGAAATAAAGTATAATTTTAGCCTAGCTTAATAGCGTCCACTATACATTACTGCCTATGTATCATGAGATTGGCGATGAAAGAAATGTTGCTAAATTTTTTCTTGCTTCTATTATGGACTCTGACAATTAAGCCTGAATTGCATTAGTTATTTATTATACTTACGTCTATTTCTTGCGCATGTTTAAGGTTATTCTGAGTCCTGAATAAATAAATCCCCATATATACTTAAGGCTTATCGAGGGCTGATGCTAAATATCTTGCCGCCTGATGCAGTGTCTGCGGGTTCTAAATTATGCTACCAGGTGCTTCCCCTAAATTTTGAATCCCAGTTCTTTCCGTACATTCTAAAAATTTTGCCATCCCTTAATTTTGTCTCTCGATACTTCTCTAAATTCCAAAAATGTCGTCTTACCTAAATTCTGCCACCCGGTGCAGCCATATGAGCTCTGGGTTTATGTGAATAACTAATCAGTTATTCTTAATTCAAATAGCATTAAATGTAGTCTTTCCGCCTATGACTTTCTTTAACAAAATCTCTTTTTTAGCATATGGAAAGGAATTTTGTTAATTTTTTCCTTTTCAACATTTCTTAGGACATTTAACTTAAATCTGTAATCATTGCCAAGCATAATGTCAACATAAAAGATTGCCATACTCTTCATTATTCAATTACTTATATAAAAAAAATTCTTTAGGCATCGCTACATGAGTCATTACTCAAGTTGTCATGTGTTAATAAACATACGGTGATGAAAGCAAAATACTATAAATAATGATTTGCCAGGTTGACGTCAGGAATATAAAATATTAGTAGGTCTCAAATCGACGATATTTCCATGATGCTTACACATGCATATTGATCTCACAAATTTATGCTAAAATGATTGTTTTTTCAATAAGGAGGTATTTTATTTAGTGCATAAGTGAAATTAAGATTCGAGATACTGTACACGTTTTATTATGAGGAAAAATATCAAATGTGCATGTGTAAAGCATAAAAAATTCCTAAAAAAAAAGGTTGTTGGTGGCTTTGAGGTCTGAATTTTAGATCACTCTGGATATTGGATGTCTGGATTTCAGACTTTGTACTGTATTTGCCTAGCAAAGAGACTTGAGGAAAACTAGCTCAGATTTGCACTATATAACAAAAACATCATGAAATTCCATGTAATCCTCTTCTTGAGTCTAGGAACTAAACCTAAAATGAATTAATAATATTTTGCATCTTTTAACAATGTAATTATTATGGTCAGCTTATGAATTATTTCACTTAAATTTCATTATCTGCTTTTTTTCCACATCAAAAGCTTATATAATATGCCTTGAAATTGCATAATTAATTAAGGGTAGGCAGTCATCATTGCTTGCAATCAAACTTTGGATAATAATAGAGGAACTTAAAATGAATATATTTACAGATCTTTGTAAGCACACTAACTGGAAATAAGCAAGAAAATCAAATCTAAATTTTTCTGAACATTCTTGTTTAAATTCATAAAATTGCTTCAAGCTCTAATAACCTAGTTGTCAGTGAAACATTCTTCAGAAAAGCAGTCTGAGGCTTGAACCTTGCTAGCAGTAATGTTCTTTTTCATTGGTATTTTTATTTTTGGAAATTTTAATGTATTTTAACATTGAAAATTTTTAAGGCACACTTCTGTTTTTTTCATTAAATTTAATCAGTATACGATCAGTCAGCAATAAGCTGAGTGTTTCAAAAGCAATAAATGCATTTCTTAATAATTTAAATTTCTATTTTATTTGTTTAATAATCTGTGTAATTAATTTAACTTAAAATATGTATAGTTTATATTACATTCAGTTTATGGTTTGTAGTATTATTTTGATAAAAAAATGGGCTTCTGATGCCATGTTTTTTGTACCTTTCAGCAGAATCATTTGGTTTTGCTGTTTTAAGTATCTGTAACTGTATTTTAAATTATGATTTTGAGATTTATTCTTGTATGCATTTCAAATGAAATATGTAATAGTCTGTGTTTTATTATACAGTCAAAAGTCATTAATCCGGACACCCATAATCCGGAATTATCTATAATCCGGACCTCAAAGCTACAAACTTTCTGCACATGCGTCAATCCATAATGCGTTCAAGCATGCGTGTAATACTTTTACGCATGTGCATAATAAGTTTACGCATGCGCATTTAATGTATAACGGATGGTATAAGCTAAGCTAAAATTATCTATTTCAGTTAATGTTGCAGATTGCGGTGTTCCTTAATCTTCGAATTGGATCCGGCTTATTATTTTTTGCAGACTTTAAAGCAATTTTATAAAAGTAAGCTTGAACTTTTGATTATGCCAAATAGAATTTCCGATGCTGGAGATGCCGAAGGATCTACAAAGCGAAAGTATGTTTCGATGTCCATCAAACAAAAAGTGGAATTGCTGCAAAAAATGGATAAAGGCATATCTTTTGTTTCTCTAACCATTCTGAAATCTGTTTATCGATTTCACGCTGCTCTTATAATTCCTTACTAAATGTAGTATTTCATCTCGATGTACTCCATCTTTCATATGATTTAAATCAAATTTCTCGTCATTATAATTCGCATACGATAGTGAAGAAAGTGACACAGAGGTTATGGAAAACGAAAAAATTTCGATTGACAAATTAGTCGGCATTCTCGACACAGCAATTATGGGACTTGAACAGCGGAACTTTTAACTGAACAAGAAATTATGTCTGTTTATTGAATTAAAGAGAAAGTATTATCACATAAAACGAAGCAACTTTAAACAACTTACATTGAAAGAAATGTTTAATAAAGTAAACAAATAAATATTAAGCTTTCTTTTTTTGTAAATTTTGATACCCTTTAGATGATAATTGTTCTTTATTTCATAAATTACGGTTTCATATTTTTAATTTTATAATTTCTGTATGCCATTTTACCCAGATTTAAACTGATGATCTATAATCCGGAAAAATCGATAATCCGGAATCACCGAAGTCCCGACGAGTCCGGGTTAAAGACTTTTGACTGTAATTATTTTATGCTTAAATATATTAATATTTCATTATTATTTATATTTTTCAGCATGGGTATTCTTCGCTTTCTGAGCATACACTTTCTGCTTACTCCTATGATTCTGGTTGCTCTGCTGATTCAAGTATGGCATCCCAAAGTCATAGCTCTTTGGATAGCACAAATTATCAGTGCTACAGGTAAGAATTTATACACCATCCATTGTATTTAAGCTAAATTGTGTAAATATTAGAATTTAAGAACTATATTGCATAAATGTAAGCATTCATTCTCTCAGTTTATGATTAAATAATGCAAGGTATTCTCTCACTTTAATTTTTATGATTTATTTAAGGACTATTTTACATTTGATTCTGAACATTGTGAACAGTTAACAAAATGGCCATAGAAATTAACAATTAGGCCAATGCTTGGTAATTTTAATATTACCTTAGATGAAATTTTTTTTGTTTTGATACACACTTTTATTTTTTACCATTTAGTAGAGAAAAATGTGACTGAAAATGTGAATATTACCTGTGCTTGTTTCTCTATATATGATCTATGAACAAATATTTTGTATTTTCTGAGCTGTTAAGTTTTTATATTTTTTGTATAATTTGGCTGTGTAGTTAAATCACCTACTTAACTTTAAATGCCTTTTATTTTCATTGTTTCTTGTTATATGCATTATAGTTGTTTGAAAATTTTTATTGTTTTTCAGGAAGTTAGAATTTTGTTCTGCGGAGAGTGTAGATTCAACATATTATCATGAACAAAATTTAAGTCAGCCTCAGGTATCTTGGAAGGAATCAAATCAATGGGGTAAACGAGTCCCTCGTGTTGAATTTAATGATATGTCTAGTTCAGGGACTGTGCAGAGGCCAATGCTTGGTAATTTAGTGCCTGTTTGGCAGCAGCATTCATTTGAATGTTGGCAAGCACCTTCTCGAACTCCTCCTAAACAGCACAGTCTTGATTTATCATCATCATCATCGAGAAGGCATATACCTCAGCAATTTTTTCACTCCAAAGGAAAGAACTGTATAAATTTCAATAGTCCCACTGATCAAAAGAGGAGATCTACTCCACAGCATTATCGAAAGGTTCATTCAAAAAATTCAATGTCCTTTGGATTTGACCAAATTAAACATGCGTCTAGTTATACATTAGAAAACAATACATCTTATCCACCAGAAACAGTTGGCACTCCACTTGCGAGCCGAAGGCAGTGGTTTGTTAAAAGTTCACGAAAATCTGATGGTAATGCTGCTCGAAAAGCAGAAAGTAATGCTTCTAGTCCGCAAAGTCCTTTAATGCCTCTAGAAAACTTACAGTCATTTAAAAGAAGCAAAAATAATGTTCAGGTTTCTATTAATAAATATGCAGATCATAATTCATCTGCATACAAACAATATTCATTGGATCTACCATTGCGTAGCTATAATAACTCTCGTAATGTACAATGCAAAGATGAAATGTATATTCCTGAGTTAATAATTCCCATGCCACAGTCAGTTCAAGGCAAGACGAAGATTTCTCCTGATTTTAAAGTCGACACATATGAAAGAGAAAAAGCACTGTCACGTCAAAAGTACTATAATTCATGCAAACATATCTACAGTCGCCAAAATGATCATTCTAGCTTGTTATGCACAACACCAGATTTTAATATTCCTTGTTGTTATCAAGTTGAAAACTACTTGTCTCCTTTACAACAGTATCTTATGGAGCAAGCAAAAATTTCTGGTAAGTTTTCAGATTTTTACATTTAGTGAATTAGATAAGCAGTTTTTAGTTATGAGCATAAAATTTCATAAATGCATTCATTGCATAAATTTACTGTAATAACACAAGTGAAACTTACCACTTTTAATCTATTTTTATCTCTATAAAATTCTAATCTTAAAATTATCTTAATGCTTTTTACCGCTATGAGACAGTTTCCTTATGAGTAATGCATTATTTAATTTGAATGATAGTCAGAAATAATATCCACATGAAATGGCAATAGCTCATCGAATGGGTATTTGGTAGGTTGTATGCATAAGTGGGCAGTAATCAGATAGAATATAATTTTTTAAAATATATAGAAAGAAGGGTTAGGCTGTAGATGTTTCTAACATTACAAAAAAAAAAAAGGGTTAGAGCCTTTTAAAAATCAAAATCTATTCTTTTTTTTTTTTAATTTTTTTAATTCCTTACTGGGATAGTATCTGAAAGAATATGATGGTTAATAAAAGATATAAATATTTTTAGAAAATGCAAGACAAAAATAAAGTCATTCAATAAGGATAGAAAAGGGTGTTAAAATTTACTCTGACTATTAACAGCAATAATTTCTAGGAAGCTTGTAAGGCTTATCATTTTTAAATTTATGTCTAATCTGCTAGCAGCCCTTTTTTCCCTTTCCCCCCCTTTTTTTTTCTTTTTTTCTTTCCTTTCCTTTTCTTTTTTTGCTTGTTCATTTGGTCCAACAGAAAAATGTATGCCATGTGTTATAATCATAATTTGCCTTACATTAGTCTTTCCATTCCTGAGAATTAGTATCTTGTCTCGTTTTGTTTAAATTCAATCAGACAGAAAGAAAGCTTAAACTTAAAATGGATGTTGGACAATACTGATTGTTTTCAAAAAAGTTATTATTGGTTAATCAAATTGTTTAGCATCAAGAGGAGGGAATGAAGTTCTATCCTTTAGTTTTCTGTACATATAACAACACTTATCAGATTTACCATATTTGACGGCATATAAGACACACTTTTTTTTCCTAAATTTGGTCTCAAAAAAGTTACCTGCGTCTTATACGTGAAGGACACAGGTTAACTTTCAATACTGAATGCTATTTTTAGCCTGGATAAAGATATAGGCACACATAACTTTTTCTACATCTACATGTGTGTGGCCTTCTAAATAAGGGTGCGTCTTATATGCCGTCAAATACGGTAATGACAGCCTTTTTAAAAGGAAGCATTTAAGAGAATTGAATCCTCAATTTTATTTAAAAGCTTTTTGGAAACTCATTGCTAGACATTAAAATATCCTAGAAGAACTCGCATGAAAGAAAAAAAAAAAATGTGCGACAGGTTTTAGCATAAATTAATGCTGCATAATTAAACTTGTTATTGTATGCAAGTTCTATGATATTTTATTATTTTTATCTTCTAAATTTTAGAGTTCTTATTTTAAAATGTTTTTTGTTCATGCACAATAATTTATATTTTCTTTTTTGTAAGAAGTAAAGCATTTAATTAGAATTTGATGTTTTGTTTTTAAGTGTGAACTCTTTTTTAAAATTTTCATAGCTCACCACTGACAATTAACGATATTAATTTCCTTTTCATTGAATTATAGAGATTAGATTTTCTTTGATTCACAGAGAAGAGTTATAATAAATCCAAATCCACAGTAAGAAACATGTCTTATTGCATATGCATCATAAAAGCAACAAAAATATTCTAATTTTTTTTTTAAATAACACTTTTCCCTTTGTATTTTTTTAACATACAATTGGAAAAAGTTAATTGAACAACTATAAAAATGCATGCCACTTGAATGATTTTGCAGTTAAGAAGTGAAACTTGCACAAGATCTTTATATTGTCATACCTGACATATCTTCAGAATGCAGAATTGCCTATATTTGCAAAAAGTAAATATAAATAAGAACAAAAGGAAATGGGATATAAAGTGGGATAGAAAAAAGGTCGTGTTACAACTGTTTAGAGATAGAAATAATTTAGTGCCTAATCACCCCTGACGGAAATACAATAAAAGTTTGATTATCTGGCTTTCAATTAACGAGAAAGCTCAAATAACTGGATTTTATATTTTAAAAACTTTTTTAAAGAGTGAGCTGTTCCTTTAAACTTCTGCTGGAATGACTGAGACAAGTTTAACGAGTTTACTGTCAGTTTTCATGGTTGTTGAAATTCTGTAATTGCATATGTTATACCTCAGGATTTATATCTGGAATGCTTCATCCCTTCTGACATCTCACATATTTAAATGTAGGCATTTGATATTGAAGTTAGTAAAAATAAAATGACTTTCTTAAAATACTTTTAGACTGGAAACTTTTTCATTCATTCTATTGGTTTTTCTACTGTGAATTTAATTTTTTATACACTCAGTTATGTGGAATTTTCACATATCCTGAATTTGGCATTCCCCGAGCTTTCTAGCAGGATAGTCGAGTTTTTACTGTAGAAGTTTTAAAGTGATTTTTCGTACTGTGTGTTACATTATGCAGAAATTCCTGTAATTACAGAAAGTATTCACAATGAATAGCAGTTTGAAGATCCTTGAGAGTTCTAGGTGGGGCAGTAGTGATGCAAGTTGTTATCTCAGACATGTTCTGTTGAATTTAATGCGTGGACTACTCTATATGCTGGATTCCTTTGCCTTCAAGCTAACTGGTCACTAGTGCAGTGCAGTCGGGAGGAACATTATCATCCAATAGCAGAAAGTTATTACTAATTGAACTTTTAATTAAAAAAAACTTGACATCAGGATCAGGAATCTCATATCTGGGTATTTCAGCATTCATAGTTGCACTAGAGAAAGTGTATAGGTTAGTACAGCCATTCAAAATGATGCTAACTCATACCATAATTTCGCTATTTTTATACTATGCCTAACATGGATGTTTTAAGGCTTTTTGCATATGTTCTGCTTTCTTTGCATATATTCTGCTTTCTTCTCCAAAGAAAAATTAGACTTGACTCCAGTCCATGGTACTTTAATCACAATAGTCTCCCTACAAATACAAATTGGCACATTTCACTAATCAAGTTAGGGGGATCCAAATCATGAGTTTTCTTTGCATACAAGCATCTTTTATGTAGCCTATCACTCATTTTATATCTGGATAATAGAGTTTAATAGCTGCCTTGAATTTGTTTGTGATCTAGGCTGACATCAGTTATGCATGTCTTTTAGTAGTCATAACCAAATAATGCTTTTGTGAGTCTGTTGTAGTACATTTTCAACTTTGACCTGAGTGTCTATGAAACAAATAACTTTAAAACCTTTTCCAGATTATTGATGTAATGTTTGTGACTACTTCTAAGTCTATGCAGACCTGTGTCAGTAGCTGTCCTGCTTCCATTCTCACAAACAATGCCATTTCTCACAATCCATCAGCTACTTTCCCAGCAGCATGTTCCATATTCTGCATGAGAGAATGTTACCCAACTGCTCATACAGTTCCTGAAATTAGAATTTGAAATATGCCTTTAAAGTACTTTTGTATTCCTTTCCATATGAGCCAAATAAATGTACAAAAAAATTTGCATATTTCTGTGCAATGAAAGTAGATCCCATTACACTACATCAGTGTGGTCCAAGCTTTTGTTACCCGAGGGTCAATCAAACTTTAGTATAGGAAAATGAGGGCCAGAGACATTAAAGAAAGAAAACAAATTACATATAAATCACTAGTTTAATATATCACTTTATTTTACTGTCTTAGAAATCAATGTGAAGATTGGCACTGCTTTTTTGATATAAGTTGACCAATGTGCACTGTAACTTCAGTAAGGCAAAGTCTCAGGCTCTATTTCAGTGAAGCACTTACAGTGCGATTTCTCTTTTTTAATTTGTCTGAGAGAGAAAAAGGCACTTTCACACACATATGTACTGCCAAACAGGGATGACGTTTGCAGACCGAATTTAAGCAGTTTGGGAAAACATTCTTTTGAGATCAGTTTCCAGAAATTTTCAGGGACATGACACTTTTTAGTCTGGTTGAATGGATCTATCTGAAGATCGCAAATTTCCATTTGAAGGTCGCAAAGCACCTCACTTACTTCAATCTACATTGGGTTGTTTAACAGTGAAAGTTTTGTTTTTAGGGAGTCAAAATCCTGGAATCTTCTAGAACTCTTCTTTGATTTCAATAATTATTTCATGAAACATACCAAAATTTGAGTCATTTTCTTTTTCTTTCAAATGCTGATAAGATGGGAAGTCTGCCTTATTATTTGCCTTCAGGGCAATTTCCATTATATTTTTTGCAAAAGCTTTCAGTATGCTCATAAAGCTGGGATATAATTTGTTTTTTGCCTTGTTGTTTCAGATTTAAAGCATTTAGATGGAATGTTAAATCTGTCAGAAACACAAGATCATTGATACTCATGCCCAATGTTTTCTTTTTTGAGAAAAGCAAGAATTTCATTCCTAAACGCAAAAAAGTGTTGCAGTCAATTTCCAGCATTTAGCCAGTGCACTTGAAAGTACAATGAAATGTCACCATACTCAGCATCCAAACAGTCCAGACGTTCAATAAATACTCTGTGTCTCTCGGCTTTATTGCTTCCCTTTATTAAATTTATGGTATTTACAACAGTTTTCAATGTCTCACTGAGCCTTATAATTTTTCCACAGAGAGCCCACTGGTGGATAATACAGTGGAAAAACCAACAATATGTGCCTTTTTCTTTACACAGTCATACTAATCCAGTTCTGCAACCAACCATTGCTTTGGCTTCATCTGTTGCAATGCCAGAGCACTACCCGAAACCTCCATATTTAAAAATGAAATATGTGAGCTGAATATATCAATACCTTTTATGCTAGTTTCTAATGACTTCAATTCTAACGAGTTCTTCATGAATTTCAAATTCTTCATTTATTGTTGTGACAAAGATGAGGAGCTAGCTAATGTCATCTAGCAAAATCGTAAAAACAACCTTGTATTTAGCGCAAGTATATTGAAACACTCAAATCGATTTTGAGGGCAGCTAAAGGTCCCTCCTCATCAGGAGAAAGAAATACCTAGAAAGAAGAAAAATAAAGGGGAAGGAGTCTCAGAAACACATGGTCCTTATCAGCACTGCACGTGGTTATAACCGGATTTTTAATCAGAGTTACACTGGCCGCCTACTTTTACTGAGCCAGGCTATCTGATCAAACATGTAACACAAAGGACAAGAAAAATTAGCGAAGTTAAAAATAGGGAGCGAGGGGCAGCTGCACCTTCACGCTCAAAAATCTGAACTTCAAATAATTATTCGACAACAGCTTTCTCAGCGCGATTTTCTCCATTGGTGGATTGAATCCTGTAACATATAACCCTGCATATTCCAAACTCACTCTCACGAAGACTATCATTCAAGATTGACTGTTAGTTGAACATTGCTGTGGCACGTTTCCTCCTGGTAACAAACGGTTACCCCCTTTTCCTTCTTCACCTCCATGCTTCCGTTCTCACAGTCATCACCATGCCACACTTCTACTTACTTTGAGCTTGCATACTACATCATTAAAAATTACTTTCTGGCAGGAAACTAAAATCAGGAGGGAAAGGAAAGTCAAACTAAAAAAAATTGGTTAGAATTAAAAAATAATGCCTTTACAATGCTTGCACAATAAATCAGCTAAAATTTAATATTGCTATTGCCTTATTATCAAGATGGTCGTTATAGAAGAAATAGAGATTGTTAGGTGCTGCCATCTCTAGGAATGGAAGAAATTGTCATCTGATGGGTAGCTTTGCCAATGTCAGAGGTTTCTCACTAAATCTGCTTTTTTGTATTCCCTGCAACATAGGTTGCCAACACTGCTGATGGCATTTCCTTGAATTTTTCTAAGCAGCACCAGTTAGTTCGTATCCCAATGACTGTTTTACACTGCCTGTTTTTCACAAACACAATTTATTCTGTTTATTATTAATTTAAAGCAGTAAGGAGGTTTTTTTTTTTTTCTTTCCAAATTTTTAATCATTTTTTTTTTTTTTTTTTTTTTTTTCTAGTTAGAAGGACAAGTGCCAAAAAAAAAAAAAATGAATAAGAGGGCCAAATGCAGCCCACGGGCCATAGGTTGGACTATGCCCATCAGCTACCAACCAACTACCTTTCAACTTGATTTAAAAATAAAACATATCTTTACAGTTGTGCCTTTAATTTTCCCCTCCAGTTTGTATATTATTTTGTTGTAAAACAAATATATATTTTGATTTCTAATTCTAAGCTTTCTGTAATATATGAAAATTATTTTATTATCTGTCCAATCTTAGAATACTAATAAATTCCGATAAACTAGTGTTACATTACAGAATTTAGCATTGATTATAATAATTTAAGTGTTCATATTTAAAGGTAAATTTGGTGATACAGGTGATGACAAAGATTCTTTTTCGCAAAGTGATGATGAATCTGATGGGCAGAGAGATGATGAGGGTCATTTTGCTGATGATGAAGGAATGAGTCATCATGATTCTTCTTCTTTAGAGTATCTGGACAATTACAGATTTGTTGAGGAAGATTATGAAGAACTTTTCTATTCTCCTGTTCTTCGGTCATCATACAGAAAGGGGAAATCTGATCTCCAAATTTCGGGTATAATACTATTAATACCATGGAAATTTTTTTTTGAACGAGCTAATCTGCAAGGAAAAGAATGTTTATTGATATAATTACATTAAATGTTTTATTTGATGTTGAAACATTTAATAAATTTGATTTGTAATTAGCTCTTATTAATGTCCTTGTTTGTTAGAAATTACAAAATGTGCAATCTTCTTTGCAGTCTTATGAGGATTTTTTTGTGATTCTCAAATGATTTTTGTAATTCTCAAGTTGCAATGAAAGTATTTTTATTTTAATATGTCTGTACTTACTTGCATGCATTTAAAGACAAAAATTCTGCTTGAACTACTGGTTGTTTTATGCATAACATTTATGTCTTGAAAAATTATTTTTATAATATAATTATTTTTAGTAATGCACACTCTTTTGCAAAAAAACAAAATAATGAAGCACCATGAAGGAAGTGGTTGTTTTTGATGAAATTGAACATGTGTTTAGCTCATACACAGATAATAAAATTATTAAAAAATCAAGGTCATAGTACCTGTTAACAGCTCACAATCACCCATTGAATGTTCAAATAAGTATTTGGTGGAACCGCCCCTAGCGGCAATGCATGCTTGAATTCGTTAAGGCAAGGTGTGGTAGAGGTTCCTAATGTCATCCTGTGACACATTCTGCCAGGCATTCATCAGTTGTCGCTCCAGATCTGCAATATTTTGTGGTGCCTGAATCTGGCAGCCTATCATGTCTCAGTCATGCTTGATTGGTGAAAGGTCTGGTGACCTAGCTGGCCAAGGAAGAGTATAAACCGCACGGAGACAGTCCGGAGATATGCGAGTGGTGTGTGGCCTAGCATTATCTTGTTGGAAAATGGCCCCAGGATGACGTGCATGAAGGGTAGTGCAACTGGCCACAGGATGGTATCAACATATCATTGAGCTGTTAAAGTTGTATGGAGGATGACTAAAGATAGCTTACTGTCATAAGAAATAGCACCCCACACCATCACACCAAGGGTTATTAATGTATGCCTTTGTAAAACAAAGGGTGATTGGGATCTCTGGCCCCGTCCTCTCCAGACACGAACACAGTGGTCGTCTGCTTCAAGAGTAAAGCGGGATTCATTGCTGAACACTATACGATGCCAGTCGGATGGCAGCCATGATGATCGACTGTGACACCACTCCAGATGATTTCACTGATGTTGTGGGGTCAAAGGCAAATGTCTGAAAGGCCTCTGTGAGTGTAACCCCATCTCAGAAAAGCGCCATGAGATGGTGGAAGGTAACGCGTGAGGTATAGATGTGGCTGTAGTGCGTTGAATAGTTGATAATGATACCATTTGGGCAGTTCAGGCCTGGCAAACAATCATCCTATCTTGCCTCGCATTTGTGCTCCTTTGCCTTCCAGAGCCTTCATATCGTCGGCAATTTCCTTGTAGCAACCATTGCTGCCAAAATCTTTGCACAACAGTGTCTGTATGCTTCAGGTGGTGGCCTATTGCTCAGTATAACCACCCAGCTTCACACAACCCTACAATGTGACCACATTCGTTTAGTTGTTTGTAAGGTTTCCAATATCGTCATAATGACATCTTTAGTTGCTTCTTTATGGAAATACAATGGCAGCAACAGAAAAAGATAAATTTTCTGCCTCTGTTACTGGTTTTATACTTTGCAAATTGCACACTAGAAATGTGTGCTGTGATCGCAATTCCTGTTCATTTGCATTGAAACTTTGATCATTTGCATGTTTGATCAAGATGTTTTTGCATACTAAATTTCATCATGATCGCAAAAGTCCTTCTTGGTGCTTCGATTTTTTTTGCAAAAGAGTGTAGTTTAATATCCTGAAAAAAAAAAAAAAAAATTAATTGAAATTGCTTGGAAGAGGGCTCAGCTTTGTATTGTTAGTAAAGCCATGGATTGATAGTTTTATAGAAATTTCTATTGATTTAAAGAGATGGGCAATAGATAATGGGCAAACTATAGCACAATTATTCACTTTTATGAAATTAAGAATTGCTTATATAGAGAAACATAAGGTATCTTGGATTACAAAATAAAATGTGTATAAAGCAAGAAATCTGGAAAGTCTTACTCCAATGAATTAAATTTTAATGTGTTCTTTACCATTTTAATCAAAATGTCTAAAAATAGTCTCAAATCCTAATTATGATTGTTCTTAGTTACTCAAACTGCATTATTGAACTATCTAGAAAAAGAGTTAAATATATACATGCAGGTTAGGCTGTTATGAACTAGTGGTAACTTTGCATTTGATAACTTGTTCATTGAACTTAACAGTCATATTCAATTACTGCAGCTTAAGCTAAATAACATGATATAAACTTATTTCTGTAAAAATTTTCTCTTTTTAGCAGTTTAATATTTTTTAATGACAGGTGTTTCTAATAGGTTCTAAAACTTACAATGGTCATGGAACAAATGATGCATTATCTTCATCTCCAGTATTTTCTCAAGTACCTTTGCAATCTCGCTTGCCTTCTTATTATGATACTTTTGGTGAGAAGACTGACGAACAAGTTGATTATGTTCTTGAAGAGTCTGAGGTAAGTACTATTTATGTGTTAAGTTTAATTAATGTTAGGTTATTTAATTTTTCAGTTCTTAAGTTTTTATGTAATTTCTGTTTAAATTAAGTTAGGAGTTTTTGCTGCAGCTTCTATTTCATCTGCAACATTACAGTGCTTAGATCTAGTGGGAAAGCCTACAGACAGCAGGAACTGTTTATTTGTAAGAGTCAATGTGTCCCATTTTGGCTGAAATTTGTTTGCTACACATAAAAAATTTTGTTTTTACAAAGTACTTTTTTAAGAGATTTGTTGATATGTTTGTACTATGGATATATTTCAAAATTTAAAAGAGCAAATGAAAGTACTTTTTCCATTTACTTTAGAAAGTTTTCCTAACCAGCTATTTACAACTGACAAAAAGTTAATAAAAGCATTCAATTCCTAAATCTTCTGATTTAAAATCTTGTGCTTTTCTTTATATTATAATCAACTTTAAAGCAGCTGGCAAACCAGAAGTTATCTGATAATTTTTCATTTCATTCTTAAAAATAGCCCCATTTTGTTTTGATTTAAAACAGTGCAAAGAATTATGTTTTTCACCTAAACTTTATAAAAACAAATATGTCTTAGAAACTGGCAAACTTATGTAATAACTGTCTTACAAACAAAACAAATAATAGATACACATTTGTTGAAATACTTACCAGATTTAGTGGATTTTTACTATTGATCTTATTATTAAGTTTTCCATTTAATTCAGAAAATTAAATTATCATTTGTATTACGTAATTAATCAAATACTGTTGATCGAAGTTGTTAGAATCCACTGACGTATGCAATTTCTATTTATATTGATTTAAAAAACAAGAAGAAAATTCATTTACCTCTTCTGATGCATTGTTGAATCTGACGTGATATTTCAGCTGGCAATCTTCTTTACAGAAAAACCACAATTGAATTTCTTGAAATCACATTTTATTTACATAAAACATTCAAAAGGAAAAAATTAATATTTAAATACATTTTCATGTACAGCCTCTCTTTTTCTTAATGGCTGTACGAAACAAGTTATCCGTCCATCACACGGATTCGAAACCGAACTCTCTACTGTTTACAAAGGAAAAAAAAAAAAAAAACAAGGTTTTAATTTTTCTCACTAATGGAACTTCTAGCGCCCTCTAGCGAGGAAAAGGCACTTTAGATGAACATTTAACATACTTCCATCTTTAATTTATGGTGGAAGCCAGAAATTAAACATTAAAATTAAATTTAAATCACTACTCAAAAATAATAGAATGAAATAAAACTAATGTCTATGAAAATTTCAAGCAAAAAAAGTTAAAGTTCTAAAATTGAGTTGTGAAAAGTGTTCATACAGTTCATCAGCTGTATTACTGGGTCATCGTTCTTAGATATCTCCAAATGGCAAAGTTTACAAATCGGTCATACAAGAGTTCCTGAAGAGGTTTTTACATACGCGCAAAACCATCTCTACTTGGAAACAATTTGGTGACTTTGCCTATTGGCCAGTTAAGTCTCTTTCGGTTGTCTAGTTCAATTAGTACTACATCACTCATCTGAATCAGTTGAGCCTTCTCTCTTGATTTTTGAACGAGATTTGCCAAATATTCTTTTCGAAATCTATTTCTCATTTGATCTTTGATATTTTAGCATTTCCGGTATCTTTTTCGAAGTTTCTGGAAATTAATTTTCTCTAGATCAGGTATCCCAATTTCATGGATGTCTTGAATAAAAGATGATGGAGTCAAATGAATAAATTTATCAGATTCTTCTGAAATATATGTAACAGGTCGATTATTCATTACAGCTTCAACTTCACATAATATCGTTAAAAGGTCTTCAAAATTGAGTGATGATCTACCAAGTGTTCTTAGAAGAAGATTTTTTACACTGCAAATGAGCAGCTTAGCAGAAATAATCCAATAATTTTCTTGCAGAATGGAACCAACAGTCTGGAGACCAGTATGGCAGTTCTTTAAATGGCAGTTTCGTATTAAACAATTTACTACATGATGTTTTGATGACAACAGAATTGGATATTTGAACGAAAATTCGTCATCATGTTCTAACAACTTGGTTTTCACTCGTATTATGTTATTTTGATCTTTCACAACAACAAGACTTTTGACGGAACCTGAGATATCACCAAAATTTTCTAACTGAATTCTTGACCAAAGGAACTTCTCTGCCTCTTTCTTTTCTTCGATTGAGAGCTCAGATGAGAAGAAATAATTTCTATTTCTACATTTGGATATGAATCTTTTTCATCCAACAAATAATATTCAAATAATATACAAATATTCAATAATATACAATTCAATAATTCGAAATCTAATTCAATAATATAAAAATCTCAAAATTTCGAAATTCTGTCATAATTCATAAATTGATCTACTTTTGCACAGGTAAATGATAATATAGCAGTTTTGTTTCTTTCTGACACAACTAAATCTTCATTAGGAAGCTGTTCCGATGTGGGCCAATTATTTTGTTCGTCTTTTAACCATTTTGGTCCCTCCCACCATCTCGTCTCAATAAGATGTCTTGGGCTACAACCACGAGATAGCAGGTCCGCCAGATTTAGATTACCTGGGACAAGATACCATTGGTATGATTCTGTGAGTTTGCATATTTCTCTGATTCTGTTATCAACAAAAGTACCCCATTGGTCATTTCTTCGTATCCATGCTATAACTGTTGAAGACTCCGTCCAGTAATAAACTGGTATTGTAGGGACATCTAGAGCCTCACAAATATAGTTTGCTAATCTGGCTCCCAAAACACAAACAAGAAGTTCTAGACGCGGGATTGTCAAAGTCTTTTTTGGCGCAAGTCGAGATTTTGCTCCTAGAAGCTGTACCGAAATCCTATTACTATCTTCACAGCGCAGGAAAATTACTGCTGCATATGCATTCTGACTCGCATCGCAAAAAACATGTCTAGACCATTTTTCTTTATTTCCGTAACCTATACGTCTGTTTACCTTTAAGTTAGATAATTGTTTCAATTCACTCTACCATTTCTGAAAGCCCTTGTGAATCTTTTCTGGAGGCGGGGAATACCATTCTGACTTAGCTGACCAGGCCTCCTGAATCATTAGCTTGGCTGTTAACAATGCTGGGATGAGAAAACCGATGGGATCGTAAATACCTTGTGTTATAGACAAGATCTTCAGGGTTCCTACGGTCTACTTAAGAGTCCTTAAAAGTCCTTGGATTTTTTTAAATCGATTTTTGGTCCTTAAAAGTCCTTAATTTTGGCCAAAATCAGCAGAAGGTCCTTAATTTTAATCATCTGAAATATCTGTCTGTTTTTACAACTGTCATTTTGAGTGTGAATTAGCATTTTGAGAAATATTTTTCGCGATTCATTGCCGTATATATGGTTATCTTTTGAATGGGTTCATGAGTTCTAATTTGTTTCTATTTCTAATATAAATGATGGGATACTCAAGTTTCTAAGCAAGAAGTGAAACATAAGCATTTTGAAATTCATTTTTTCTAGTAAAGAGCTCTTAAACAACTTTTCGCTTTTAGGGATGTGAATTCTTTCATTAAGCGGTTCTAAATTTGGCGACTTTTCAACATTTTAGCGATTTTAAGATTAGTTTCTATAGAAAAATTTTTATTCCAAAGTATGAGAATTTTTCGACGATTTTTTTTAAAACATCGTAACATTGATAATTTTCATTAAAATATGGTAATGTATTGAAATTATATTTAGAAAAATAACATTAAAATACAACATTTTTATTTTTCGCTGTCATATTATAAAGTTTGATTTTGGCAATTTATACAATATTTTAAATCGGAAAAATAAACAAGGTATAATGCTATAAAGCACAATTTACAAAACAGCTCTTAGCAAAAGCAAAATTAGCTATGTAATTAATTAAAAATGTCTTCTTTTTAATATTTTTCAAAGTAAGAGTTTTTCCCATGTAATTGTATCAGTCAGAGTATTCAAAATTCTCAAAATATGCATGAGTTTTCTCTATAAAATTAATTTTACACTTTTTCCCTCCTTTTTATTTCCAAAATATTTCTGGCTTTTTGTTGTTACAGAATTGGTAGGGATAATTTTTCTTTAGGATTTTAGACATTACAGCTTGAAAAGTTTAGAAGGATTTGAAGGCAAGATTTATAGACCCACAATTCTAGAAGATTCGAGAAATATGTGACAAAATGAAAAATGTCTCCATGGTATCAACACATAATGGATGTATTTTACAGGAAGTTTGCAATGAATTTCTTAATTTTTGGAGAACATCTGGAAGAACAATGGAAACGTAAGTCGATCGCTACGTATGGGACATATGTGTCTGAGCCTTTGGCTTGAAAACCGTTTGTCAAAAAAAATCTCAAATGCTAAATTTACCATATTTATGACATTTGTTCATTTGGATAGAAAACGGGGTAATTTGTTTTTAAATTCCTAGTCAAAGGGTTGACAAGCTAACCACTTGTCCAGGCACAAGCAATTTTGAGCCCACGGTCTAGATAGCAGATTACCAGGACTCTGCCGGTCATGGCCCACTAATGGCTGTTTGTATCGCCAAGTTTAGTTTGTTTAGGGGTCCAGTGGCGCTAGCACGTCTCGCAGAAGCACCACAGGTCCAGGGTTCGATCTCGCAAGGTTGACTCAGTCTTTTTTCCCTTGAGTGGGTCGATATTTGAATGTATTACTTCTGATACTAGAATCTTAACATGTTTATCTTCTCTTTATTTTATCTATTTTTCACTAGACAGAAGCATGGAAAATGTCAAAAATGCTTCTGATCTTATCACATGGGCAGACATTATAGAAAGGGATTTTTTTTATTAATAAAGAAATTGAAAACTTACAATTTAAAAGATTCATCTAATATTTCTTAATGCATCATACACACATAGCTGGCACCAGGCATTTTCCCACCTAATGCAATCTCTGTGGATCCTAAATTCTGCTGCCTACTGCCTTTCTAAATTCTGCTTCCAATGCTTGCTCTAAATTCTAAAAGTTTTGCCATTTCTAGA